AACGGGGGTGGATACAGCTTTCTGTGTTCTGTGCTGTGTTTTAATCACTAGGCTGGAAAGGTGGAAGACAATTCTTTAGGTTGAGATCAGTAGATGAATAAGGGAAAATGGAATGATGAGGTTAAGGAGACAAGAGATGAATGAAAAAAATCAAGTGCTATAGCATGGGTAAAAAGCAAGGAGAAAATATGAAGAACTAGATCTTGAAAAAAAGGTGACATGTGACATAGAAGGTTCAAATGTGTGCCATTCCACCAACATTAATCAACAAACAACAGGCATTCCCTACTGCGAACATTCAGTGGCAATGTGGTTGCTATAAGACTACACAGCAGAGAAGGAATATGGTAGCACTTGGTGTTAGAATGATTTTAATTAGGACGCTTCTTTCTGTCAAAAAAAAAAACTGGAAGAATCAGTTTGCTAGGAGCTTTATTTGTGGAAGGCTGCAGGTGCTAATATGCTAAATCATTAGGTGGAGTCTGTGAAATGAGTCTTGTCACTGTTTGCACTTTTTCTGTATCATTCACAGGATGCCTCTCATTTCATTTGGGAAATCAGTTATTTGCCCCCAAGCATTTTAGCTGTTTGTGTATTTGGCCATGTTGCTATAAGTTAAAGGGCTGGTTTGCTTAAAAACTGAACTTGACTCTATGAAATGGCACATGGGGATAAGCCATCATCTTTATGAAGAAAACTATTAATAGTTTTTTCACACAATAAATGGAATTTATGGATGTTGGTCCAAAAATTAAACAGCACACGTAAGTCTTGTTTCTCACACCAAGTTTCTCAAAGAAACTAAAACCATGCAATTATCAACAGTAAAGGAGGTCATGAGATCACACGCATGTGGACATAGGGCACAATATACAACTTAATGGGATGATTTGAAACTGCAGCTACCTGTGCGCTTACTTAATGCTCAGGAAAATTCTTACTCTGGTCACTACACCCTGGTCTGTCTCCTGCCTTCTTATTCATGGCATTGATATTTTGAAGGTCAATGGTTTTTATAAACCACCATAGGGTTTCATTCTCTCATTTCTTGCATTCTGTTTTCCAATTCTTTCCCTAGATTAGGGAAAATTTCCCTTATTATTTCACTGAATACACCTTCAATCCCAGTTTCTCTTTCTGCACCTTCTGGGACTCCAGTAACTCTTCCATTTGGCTGTTAATACTGTCTTTCAATTCTTGAATACTTTTTTTTTTTTTAGCTTGACCCAGGTCTACTTCCAGCTTTTTGTTTCCTCCTGGTGACAGGAAATTTCTTCCAATTCTGAGATTCTTCTCTGCTTCATTCATTTGGTTTTGGAGACTCTCTACTACACTTTTTATTTGCTCTACTATATCCCTACTTTCTGATCTATCAGCTTTCATTTGATTCATTTCCAGTGTGATATATTCCTAGAATTCCTTGAATGCCTGCATTACATGCTTCTCATTGTTGATAAGAAATTTTATGACAAGTGTTTTGAATTCTGTACCCCCCATTTTCTCGATGTCTTCCTCAGTGAACTCTGAGGTTGGCAAAGGGTTTTGCTCCTTTGCAGGGGAGTCTTCAGTGACAATCATTGTGCCTCTGTCTCTTCTTTTGCTCTTGGTCATTGTACTTCTGCTTAGCAGATTCTTTTCCTTGGGGCAGGTTTCTAAGCTGTGTCACCCACAGGTCTACAGTTCGATTTTACTTATTATGGTTGGTACATGGCTCTTTGTTTGCAGGCACTGTGCCACTCCCTCCAGCCAAGTTCCAGGTCTGGGTTTTTACGTTAGACTTCCACCGTGGTCTCCATACCCCCAGCTCCTGGCTCAGCCTCTCCACCTCCTCTGATCTCATGATGAGGCTGTCTATACAAACTTTCTCCCACTTCCTGCTTGAGCACTTCCCAGGGTTAGGGAGACACTAGATGTCCTGAATAGTTAGCTTGCTCGCTGTGCTGATCTTGCTGAAATTGGCTGGCCTTTAGGTCTGAGGGCCACATGGACCTTTTTGAGTTGTAAGATTCCAAAGTTCGAATTATTTTCAATGTAGGCCCAGTGCAATACACTAAGCTCAGTGAGTTTTCTCCTAGCTCAGTGCATGCACAGCTCACTGTTGTCCTTCCAGTCTCAAAGCCTTTGCCACACTACAAAATAGTGTCTGATGTACCACTCATGGAGTTCTTGATCTGCTGCCCACTAGGTCTTGAGGCTACCCGGACTTATTGTGGGTTGAACCTGTAGGACGCCATGTCTTTGCAATACACTGAGCCAGAAGAGTTCACCACCAGCTTAGTGTATGCACAGTCCTGTCCTACACAAGATGACACAGGATTTGGCTCTAGTGAGGGTTTGGACCATGTATTTACCCTGTTCCCCACCACCTCTGTGGGAACTGCTGCTCTCTCTCTGATGCTGGTCAAATCAAACAAACCAGCAGGATGGACAATTCTTTGTCTGGGTTCACCTCCTGAGCTCCCAGTGACCGTCCCTTCCCATCTGGTTGCTGGTGGATTTCCAGTCTCTGGTGCAGTTGAGGTCCCCATTTATTGGAATGCTGCCTGGGTTTCTGATCACTGCAATACCACACCACCGTCTCTGCTGCTTTCCCATATCTGTCAGTCACTAGGTGCCCTTCTGCTGTCTGTCTATCCTCTCCTGTTTCCTAGAATGTGTCTTCTCGGTCACCGTTGGCTAATGATTCTGTCTGTTTAAATGTGTCCTCACCTTATTCTGCCTTCTTGATTCTCCACTCTTCCATTTCTAAGGACTTCTGAGATTGTATCAAACCCGCCTGATAACCCAGGACAATCTTCGTATTTCGTGGGTCAGATGATTAGCAGCTTTAAATTCATCTGCAAATTCAATTTTCCTCCATACTATATTCTAGTGAGCTCGCAGGTGACGTGATTAACACACAGGCAACATTTGGGGAGGACATTTATCTGCCTGTCCTGGTCCCTTCCTTCTTTCTGCATCTTTCAGATAGTCAGAACTCATGTATGCAACAGTATGTATAAGTACACACAGATTTTACAAAACCAAACAAGAAGAACTGAAAAATGCCTATGTCCATTTTCCTTCTCTATCACCTCCTTCAAGTCATAGAATATATCTAGGATTCCACAATTGAATGACAGTTGCGTGTATATATTTGCCCTTGTGTTTGCTCTCTTGTTCTCTTCTTTTTGCAGACATTTGACATGATGTTCCTTCATTGCTTTTGTGAATAAATGAGTAACTTGAACTGCTTTGTAATACTTAGGGTACGATGATATCATCCAACCGTGGAGCAAGTGAAACCACGCCCAATCCATACCCACAAAACAGATACACAGTTCCCGGGTCTCCAGGATTGATAAACCCCCAAGATCCGGGAGGCCAAGTTCCATTCATCACAACTCCAGGAATCGTGGTTGCAAATCAGCAGGGTCAAGGAAACACACAAGCGATAAACCCAGCAGCACAAGGAACAAAAAAGTTTAAAGAAGAAGCAAAAGCACTAGGGGTAAGATATTTCTTTGTGGAATTTTAATCTTGCATTTCATAGTTTCCTTGTACCTATAAAGTAACAGGTGGCAAGAATATCCACTTTTTAATATCCCTTATTAAAAACCTCTGAACATTTTTCTGCTCAGTTCATCATTTCTTCCAAGGAGATGCAACTAGTCTGTTTTGCTAAGTTCATTTATTTTAGATTCATGCAAGAATGCACCAGGTGGTGATGCAGCAGGAGCATTAGTAATAATGAGGTGATAGAAGAAGCATCACCACTTCTAGCTCTTTCTTAAAGATTTATTTATTTTACTTGAATGTCAGAATTAGAGACAGGAAGAGACAGAGAGAAAGAGAGCTCTTTCACCCATTATTTCACTCCCCAAGTTACTGCAACAAACAAGGCTCGGCTGGTCTAAAACTGGGAGCCTGGAGCCACCTCCTGGTCTGTACGTGCATGACCTTTATGCCTTGAGCCATCCTCCACTGCTTTCCGGGTCATAATTTGGGAACTAGAACAGAAGTGTAGGGGCCAGACTCAAACAAGTGCCCAAGTGGGATGCCAGCTTGCAGGGCAGGGATTATTGTGTTATATCACAATATTACCGGAGCTGCCCTGGAAAAAAGCTGGAAGTCAGAGGCTTCTTCTTGGTGCCCACATGCATGTGGGGCAGGACCATTAGCAGGAAGTTGGATCAGAAGTGTTACACTTGGGGCTCAATCAGGTGCCCATGTGGGGATGACAACACCACAGGGGAAGACCAGCATACTAAGCCATTGTGCTGCCTGCAATTTGCTTTATAAACACTCCAGTTGACAAAAAGTCCAGGGGTCACAGTTGTGAACAGGTGGAGCATCACTGCTATTCTACTCAGAGCTTTAAGCTTTTCTGTGATTTAAACTGCACAACAAGGCACAAGGGCATTTCATATTTTGTAAAAAAAAAAAAAAAAATTTAAAACTCTATTCCAAAAAATTATTCAGATCTGCATACAAAAAGATTTCAAAATATTCACACAAAATAAATATTGTGAAAAAAAATATTAAAACTACACATGGATTTCAATATTTTTGGTACACCACAATAAGGTTTAATTCTGCTTTTGCACAAATCCTTTTTGAAGTACCCTCAGATGTGTCCTTCTTTTATGTTTGTCCTATTTTGAATAATAATTGATACAGCCAGGGATATATCAGAGAAAGTCCAGAATTAATGACAGCAAGGATCAGGTTGAGATTTTGGAAGCTAAATCACCAAATTTCTATATTAGAGAAGAGCTTGTAAAAACATGCAAATTATTTTTTAAATATTTATTTTTATTGCAAAGTCAGATATAAAGAGAGGAGGAGAGATAGAGAGGAAGATCTTCTGTCCAATGATTCACTCCACAAGTGACTACAATGGCCATTGCAACGCCAATCCAAAACCAGGAGCCAGGAACCTCCTCCAGGTCTCCCACAACAGAGAAGGATTCCAAGCTTTGGGCCATCCTTGACTGCTTTCCCAGGCCACAAGCAGAGAGCTGGATGGGAGGTGGCTGCTGAAATTAGAACTGGTGCCCTCATGGAATCCCATGTGTAAAAGGTGAGCACTTTAGCCACCAGGCCACCTCATGGGGCCAACACACAAATTCTAATGCAAGACCTCTTCAAAGGAACTGTATTATTATTATTAGCTAACAGAGAATTATTACACCTCTAATGTAAAACCGAGATGTGTGCTTGTGGATATACAAGAATAATTTTTCAGAGACAAAGGTTCAAGATTTTTCTCTCTCAAACAATGACAATTTTCAACAACAAAATACTACCACCCAGCATTACTGCAGAGGATTTTTCAAATTCTAATTCAATTTAGTTTAAATGTGGTCATTATTTGTTGAGTAAATAAATAAACACTTTCTGAAGTCCTCCTAGGAAGATAAGGAATAAGCTTGGGAAGAAGGAAGTATAAATTCATAACTGAATTTTGAACCAAGTTTGCAAATGCTATATATTGCTTAGAAATGCAGACCTAATTGAGGCCAGCAGCTTCAAGGCTCTACAGGCTAAGCCTCCACTTACAAGCACTAGCATCCTACATGGGTACCACTTTTGTTCTGGCTGCTCCACTTCCAATCCAGCATCCCACCTATGGCCTGGGAGAGCAGCAGAGGATGCCCCAAGTCCTTGGCACCCTTGCACTCATGTGAGAAGCTCAAAAAAAACTACTGGCTCCTGCCTTCAGATCAGCTCACCCATAGACATTGCGACCATTAGGGGAGTGCACCTGTGGATGGAAGAGCTTTTTCTCTTCATATAAATTGGCCTTTCAAATAAAAATAAATAAATCTTTTTTAAAAGAAAATTTCAAATGATCAAGGCTGAATAAAGTTAAATAGAAGGCACAAAAAGTAAAAGTAATCGCTACCTATCATTGGGAATGTAGTTTTTGTTTCAAAAAAGAAAAAAGAAGTAATGATGGCATACAAGCAAGTTAAAACAAACACACTACAATAGGAGTGAGTAAAGGGTCAAGTTTTATTTCCATAATATGCAACCAGAATTCAGGAAAAGAGAGGAAACAAAAAGAAGAAAGGAGTAGAGCCAAGCCGAGCCTGAGTACCAAATAGTTGAGATGGGAACCCCTCCCAGATCTCCCTGAGCGATCACGCAGCCTTAGACACGTCATTTGTGTTATTTTCTTGTGTCTCCACCTGTTGTTGGAAAGATTACACTCAACAATAAATGTAAAGTGTTTAGAACATTAGCATCCACCAAATCATTTTATCTTCACTGTTTCCTTTACGTTTCTCTGGGATTACTCAGGCCAAGAGTCAATCCATTTTGAGATGATGGTCACTGAAATCATAATAAAAGGACTTTGTTTATAAGAGTTTTCTATAGATTATCAGCGGACATTCATGCATACTTAAGAAGTTGGTTTTCTGAAGAATTCTGATGGAACTTCCCCAAGAAAACTCCCTTGAATTATTTCATTTAGGGTCTTTCACGAAGCCCTTGTCCTTCGGTTGTATAGCATACAGTAAAATCCTCATGGCTCACACCCTGCTTTAATGTCCATGGTTACAAGTAAGGAAAGCAGGAACAACAGCCACAGTAATGTTTTATGGGCCTGAAATTGAAAAAGCAATTTTTTTAAAATTCCTGTTTTCTTTTTCCAGGCAATGCAGATCCTGATTGGAATTATACATATTGGCTTTGGAATTATCCTAGGATTGCTGAGCTACTCAGAGACATACCAGCGGGGTTATGTCTCTGTTACCTTCATTAGTTTTTATCCATTCTGGGGTGGACTCTGTGTAGGTATACCTGTAAAAGCCATTCTCCTCAGTTTACACCGTCTTGCTGTCTCCAGTGTATCCAGCCCTATTTCTTTCTTTTCTTTCTTTCTTTCTTTCTTTCTTTCTTTCTTTCTTTCTTTCTTTCTTTCTTTCTTTCTTTCTTTCTTTCTTTCTTTCTTTCTTTCTTTCTTTCGTTTATTAATTGCATTGCATTATGTGACACAGCTTTATAGGTACTGGGATTCCCTCTACCCCTCCCCAAACCTTCCCGCCTATGGTGAATTCCTCCACCTTGTTCCTCCAGTTCAAGTTCACTTGAGACTTTTTCATTACAAGCATATACCAAGAATAGAGTCCAGCTTGTTACTGTCCAGATAAGTTCAACAGCTTCTTGGGGAGACCATCTCTGTCTGAAGGTAGAACCGGCAGAGTATCATCCCAATCAATTAAAAGCCCCAAAATAACATCAGCCACAATTTATAATGCTATGGAATTGGTTATCATAGTATTGAGTAACCAAAATGTTAAAAAGAAGGAAGAATGAAAGAAAAGAAAGAAAATGCAAGTTCTTAACTACATCCTGTGACTTCTTCATTGACATTTCAATTTTAGTTTACATACAACTGGGTTCTAACACCTTAAAAAGGTTATAGATCACTATTCAGCTGTCTTGTGTCTGTTTTCATTAAAGTATTTGGGATTTTAGAGTATTGTAGCATAATTTTGCTGAACCTGGCTTTTTTATTCAGGTAGTCTAGTCTGGCTTATAACTCTAACAAAACATATGTCAACAGTTTAGGTGCAGAACAGTTTTAGGAGGGGTGTGCAGAGAAATCTTCAGTACCATAGTGAGGAGTAGCTAATCTTTGTGTCCCACCTAGTAAGTAAATCCACACTGACCATTTCCTGTCTGATTCTAAGCTTTCCTTGTTGTCTTCTGTCTATCTTTTCTAGATTTTTTGTTTCTTTGTTTTGAGGGGATCTAGAGCAATCCTGATGGTCGTTGCTGGAGAGGGTAGGGACACAAAGTTGGAACCAAGCAAGGACCAGAGTAAGCTCCCTTTCCTAGTCCCAAAGGAACTTTACTGTTCTTCTGTTTCTGCATACCACTCAGGGCTCCCGGCTGTAGTTCCGATGACCTTGGATTCTACAAGGAAGGTTTTGGACTTCTTCCATCCCATGTGGTAGATTCAGATTGGTGTAGGTGACCTCAGAGTTCTCGCCCTTTGAGGCACTCCAATTCCTCGTGGTCTCCTTGGCAGTTAGGGTGTAGTCCTTGGTGCCCATACAGATAGTCCTTGGTCAGGATCTAGGAGTCTCCAGGGTTGGGATGCAAGCCTCCTCCTGTCCACATCCTTCACTCTGGGATCCCCCTTGCTCTGTGCATATGACCTCTTATGAAGAAGTTGTCAGGATCTCTCTTGATTCCCCCATATGCCTTTGTGGTTTTACCTTTGCTAATGCTGATTCAAGTCCGTTGTCCCTGAGTTACCAGTTATGATCCTGACAGGACGTACTTCACGTCTTCCTCACACATTCTAGGGAGATAGAAGACTTCTCTGCTCTCCTGCCCCATTATAAAATAACATAGACTATTAAAAGTATATTGTTTTTTTAAAAGATTTGTTTTTATTATTATTTTTTTATTGGAAAGGCAATACAGAGAGGAGAGACAGAGAGGAAGATCTTCCATCCGATGATTCACTCCCCAAGTGAGCACAACGGGCCAATACTATGCCGATCCGAAGCCAGGAGCCTCTTCCAGGTCTCCCACGTGGGTGCAGGGTCCCAAAGCTTTGGGTTGCCCTTGACTGCTTTCCCGGGCCACAGGCAGGGAGCTGGAAGGGAATTGGGGCTGCCGGGATAGAACCGGCGCCCATATGGGATCCCGGGCGTGCAAGGTGAGGACCTTAACCACTGCGCCACCGCACCGGGCCTGGGTTTTATTTTAGATTTACTTTATTTTTATTGGAAAGGCAGATATACAGAGAGGAGAGACAGAGAGGAAGATCTTCCGTCCGATGATTCACTCCCCAAATGAGCGCAATGGCCAGTGCTATGCCAATCCGAAGCCAGGAGCCTCTTCCAAGTGTCCCACGTGGGTGCAGGGTACCAAAGCTTTGGGCTGTCCTCGACTGCTTTCCTGGGCCACAGGCAGAGAGCCAGATGGAAAGCAGGCTGCCGGGATTAGAACCAGTGCCCATATGGGATCCCGGGCGTGCAAGGCAAGGACCTTATCCAGTGTGCCATCGCCCCGGGCCCAAAGCATATTAGGTTTTACAGTTCTTTGATGTAGATATTAAGCAGTCTGATTCACATTGATTGTTGGATCATTGGTTACTTCACAATCTCTTATTGCATGCGAGACAGGCAGCCCCATTTCTTGACAAGTCCTGCATTGAGGACTACAAAGTTTCAAGAAAAAACAACTTCAAATGGGCATATGAAGAAACAAATTTTACTCTCCATTCTTAACTTGAAGGCCAACCTCACATGGGTAATAGCAAGCCAACCATCTGTATAGACAGAACTCATTGCAGTGTATGCTTTCTTCATTTTGATGATTCCTGAGCTTACAGGAAAGGCTGCTCCATCTTAAAAGTTCACTATGGTCTAGCAATAGGCAAGCCAAAGTTCTATTTCTTCATTAGGTTTTGGACAGAAATGTGAGTATTGAATATGAAGTGGGTAAAGGAGGTGAGTGTGTCATGACCAGAAACATGTAGGGACAGGCATGTGGCCTAGAAGCTAAGATGTCATTTTAAGAGGACTGCATCCCATATTGGAGTACCCTGGGTTCAGTTCCTGGCATCATTCTTGATTCATGCTGCCTGATAAGCAGCTAAGTGATGACTTAAGCAGTTCATTTCTTGTCACCTGTGTGAGAGACCTGGACTGGGTTCCCAGATCCTGACCCAGGAATAACTACTGTAGATATTTCAGAAACAAATCACTGAATGAGAGAGAGATCTCGCTCTGCCTCTCAAATTAGTATTTAGAAATTTTTTCAACTTAAGCAATCAGTAATGAAAACAGGGCCCCTGCACCCAACTAGGAGACACAAAGAAAGTTCCTGGCCCTTGGCTTCAGACCTGCCCAGCTCTGGCGTTTGTGGCCATTTGGAGAATGAACTAGCAAATGGAGATCTCTCTTTCCTTGTCTAATCTTTCCTCCCTCTGTATTTCCATCAAGTAAAGACAAATAAATCTTTAAGACAAAGAGTGAGAGAAACTGATTGTTTCACAAATAAATCTTATTCCTACAGTTCATAATCTCTGGCTCGCTCTCTGTATCAGCATCCAAGGAACTTTCCAGTTGTCTGGTAGGTTTAAAAGTTTTTTTTCTTATCTGATCAAATGTTATTTTCACTTGTTGGGGTGGGAGTGTTGAATGCAGGTTGTTTGTGAAGGCAGATTTTTAAACTGTGATTTGGAGTGCTTTCCCAAAAGTCTATGTTGATTGTGTCCTGTGATGTGTCCTGGAATAGGGGAAGAGTCCAACAAATTTGACACTCGGCATAGGCAATACTCCACAGGCTGACTCAAGCTCACAAGGAGGAACGTAGTAAATGTGAGGGCTGGTTAGGCTTTCACCAGCTCAGTCAGGTCACAAAGCACAAAGATTTTTGTTTCTGCTTTTGATTTTTTATTTATTTTCTAGATGATTGTTCTACAATTCTGCAAGTCCCCCTTACAACCATCCAGAAATGGATATTTGAAAAGCTTTTACAAATAATCACTGAAACAGGACTTTCCATTCTCTCAGTCACAGCACTCTACCAACTGCAGCTTCCTGGTCTGCTTAGGAATCAGGAGGAAATCTATTCCAACAGCTGCAGCCAACTAAAGCAGAGGCGGTTTCAACATTGTATGTGATTTTGCCCAAGAGGAAAGAAGGAAAAAATAGAATAATAGGTCATGGTGCTTTTCCAGAGAAACAAAATAATAAAACCAAACGAAAAGCAGTCCAGTACTGATTAAGTACCCATTGTAACTCAAAAACAAAACACATCTCCATTCATGGCATCTTTTAGGGGTCCTTTCCTCTAACCAGATTGTCCAAGTACACACTCTGTCCTTTTGGGGAAGAAAACTACTAGGCCTTTCACATGGCAATTTTCTTACAACATTGAACCTTGCAAAAGATTCTAATTTCTAATTGTGTCTGCAATCAGCTCAAAGCTGAATCAAATTATTTTCCCTAACGACACAATGTTATTTTAGACACTATAGAAAATTCCATATTTTGCTAATATGACTCTACCAAGGAATACCACAGCTTCTCCTCTAAACACGTAGTTTTCATGTAAACAATACAAAGAGCAAAGCAAAGTCAGTTCAACTTGGAAAACTTTCACAATGTCAAAGATTCAGAATTATTATGTTTGATTTATACTTAATTAATTTCCTTTAGACTCTATGTAACCCATTTTTATTGTTGTCTCCATTAGCTGAAAGGCACCCTGGGGATGAACATTGTCAGTGCTATCTTTGCCATCCCTGGAGTGATTGCGCTGCTGATAGATGTGTTCATCAATGGTATGCCTCAACAAACCTACTGGGCATTGGTAAGTACCTCGTAATCTACCAGACACCTTCTAACTTTTACTCTCATGTAGATCTACTTTAGCTTGCATTACTACATAGATTTTAATAAAATTTTTATTCCAGACCTATTTCTTTTTTTAAGATTCATTTCATTTTTATTGGAAAGTCAGATATATACAAAGGAAGAGAGACAGAGAGGAAGAACTTCCATTAAATGAAGTTCACTCCCCAAGTGACCACAACTGCTGGAGCTGAGCAAATCTCAAGTCAGGAGCCTGGAGCCTCTTCTGGGTCTCCCGCACAGGTGCAGGATCACAAGGTTTTGGGACATCCTCAACTGCTTTCCCAGGCCACAAGATGGATGGAAAGCAGGGCTGCTGGGATTAGAACCAGTGCCCAATGGGATCCTGGCCCATGGCAGGCATGGACTTTAACCACTAGGCTGCTGTTTGGGGGCCCTCCAGTACTATTTCTATAGCCAGAATTTATCAACCAGTTATTTGCATTTAAAAAAAGAAGAGGAAATAAGCACTTTGGTGTTCAGTGTGTTTTAAAGCATAAGAATGGGTACAAGGAAAATGTCAGTGACTAGGACATCTGATTTTTGCTACAGATAGCCAAAAGAATGAAGCAACTGAAAAATGTGGCACACGCCTCTGCATATGCTAGAAGTAGAGTCAGAATCAACCATGGATGATCATGTGGGGGGCCAGCAATGGACTCCATCTGAGGAGGAAATGGCTGATCTCGGGGCAAGCCTCTGAAGGAATGGAGGAACTATACAGTACAGGCTCAAGTAGGCTCACAGCTGTCATCTTGCCTTCACAGCAGGGACTTTTGTCTTCATTATAAGAATGGAAAGCAACATAAAAATATTCTTGTCGTTTTGGTTTCTTAGTAGTTAATTTCTTTAAATATACCAAGAGCAACAGATATTAAATGGATTTTTAACTATATATATCATGATAAAGAACATTTAATGCAAAAAATTAGAACATTCAAACTACATCAGCAATTCTTTAAACTTGTAATTACATTGACATTTCCTATGTGAGTTCATTTAGCACAGTTGTGTATTCGGTCCCCCCTCTGGTTCTTGGAATGCCTTACAATGTCTTATCAAGCCATTCTTCTCACTAAGGGTTTGGGCATTCTGGCTGCCACCCAAGTATGATTTGAAAGATGTCTAAGCCACGTTAACAAAGCAAATAGCCAAGAGTTTGTTTTTTAATTGCTAACAGCTTGAAGTGGCTTACATAGTCCTTTACCTCGGGGAATTCCTAGATAACTCTTCCTTGTTAAGGCACAGAAGGGCTTGAAGAAGAAAAGAACAAGAATTACTTTTGAGTTCTGAAAACACTGCTCTGTTTTTCAGTGTATAGAAAACATAAGGAGGCAAGAATTGTTAATCCACATTCTTAGTCTATTTTCTGTTATACACAAGCACTTGAGGCTGTAGACTTTTTGTTTAATAAATAAACAGGTTTGTGTAGCTCATGGTTTTGTGAGTATAAGAGCACAGCACTGGCAACAGCTTCAGGCTGAAGACTCACTACACAAAACATTGCAAAGAGGGAGCATATGCAAGAGAGGGAAGTGGGGGGCACAAAAAGAGAGAGAAATCTGGTGTCACTCAATGGCAAGAGAAGAAGTAAGAGACAGGAAAGACCAGGTTCATTCTTTCATAACAGCCTACTCCTGTTGGGACTAATTTATTCCAGGAGACCGATTCTATTCTTTGAGAGTAGCATTAACACTTTAATGAGTTTTTTCATAACATCATCATCTATCATAAAGCCCTGAATGCTCTTTACAGCCCTAACTTTTTCAATATCATTACATTGGGAACCAAGTTGCTAGTGCACAAACTCCTGAGGGAACAAACCATACCCAAGGCACAGCAAAGACATTGTGGTGAGTAAGATAAATTGAAGCAAGAACACAAAGTTCCTCCTCTACTATGTCAAATGAAAAGAACAAAATGACTCAGTAAATAGCTTACAAACCTGCATCCAAGAAAACAAACTATTCTGATGTGACTAGATATGGCAGGGGATAACACCTCGGCTTTATTGTTCAGAAAGAGAACCAAGAAAAGAAGGGAGGGGAGAGAGAGAGATAAAGCCTTACTAAACTTCTGCAATCTGAGGTGGAAACCAATGTGTTAAGAAAGGATACAGCAGGGCCGGGCGCAGTGGCGCAAGTGGTTAAAGAAAGGATACAGCAAATGCTACAGACTAAAAGCCCTTATGTAGCCAGGACCATAAGAAAATAGGATCAAAGCCCAAAATTAACACCTTTTAGTTCTAATGGAGAACTGATAAGAAATTGACAGTACTGGGAAACTCTATAGCCTTAGAAGCAGGCTTTCACATCAGGCAGTTACAAGACTTTCAGAAAATGTTTACATTCCTTCTGAAGAAGTGTCCTTGATAGCAGCAAAATTATCTTTCTCTTTGTATCAACTGTATAATGAACATTCATAAAGATTTACAGCAAACACTTAGCTCTCATGTCATGCCTGCACTAGGAAAGAATAATTAGGCCCAGATGATGAGAATCAACAAAAAATAAAAAATCTCATTGTTTCTGCACACATTAAAGGACTATACAGGGCTGCTCATTTTAAGAAGTTAAAATTTCATGCAGGAAAATTTATTTAAAATATTAGAATGAGTAAAGAAGTGAAGAGAAAGAAAAAGGCAAAAGACACAA